TGGCTCTGGGGAGTGGCCCGGGGTGGGGAGGCCCTTCTTGTGCCAAATCCCCTGGGCTATCATGAATTCCTCCAAGCTACTGCTTTCTCAGAGACAGAAATTTCGAGATGAAAATGGGGCACCCAGCTGGAAGCCGGCATGGGGGCCAAGGTAAGGCCGCTGAGGACGACATCATTGGAAACTTTTATTATGGCCACGGTCTGGCCATGTGGGCTCTGCCCCGGTCAAGAGATCGCCACGTCTCATTTGTGGTGTTCTGAGGGCAGGGCGGTGAGGAGCCAGGGCCTCCTGGGAATCCCTAAGTGTCTCCCTGGGGAGCCACCCATAAAACCCTTGCTGAATTTGTAGGCTCGTCATTACTTTTGGTGGTGCGGTTTATATTGTCGGGATGGGAGCCTCAGGAGTCAGGTACCATCAAAGAAGGGAAGTCGAAACAATGACCGCATTTAGTACTGCCAACAACATCAACGGTAGTAAGAGTAGCAAGTACTGTCGTTTCTCGAGCCTGCAAAAACCCATTGGATATAATCCTGGCAAGTGAGTTATGTATTCGGCTCTACAAAGAGATAAAGAGATCATTTCAACAAGCTGCCGCAAGTGCTGTGATCAATGTAACTGTAGGAGCCATGGGAGCTTACAGGAAGAGAAACATGACCTAGCCTGGGCAGTCAGGGCGGCCTTCCTGGAGGAGGTGATTTGGGGATTCATTGTTATTTCCTTCACAGATTTGGCTCTCCTCCTCCCATCTCCAACAGACCCCAGGCTCCATGAGAATGTGGATCATGTCTGTTTAGACACTGCTGTATTTTTAGGGCCCTTGCCACACAGTTCCCAAACTGTGCACCAAGGCACCCCAGGGTGCCACCATGAACAGCACTCCTTTGAGATTTTTCAAAATTTTGAGGAGACAAAGGGACCTCTCCCAGACCCATGTGAATGGTGCCAACATTAGACAGAGCTACATTTCTTTTGATGATGCCCTGTCTTTGCAAATCTGGGTTTTTTTGCAGGGGTTACACTAAAAAGCAAGAGCTCTGATAAAATCAGTGTGGAATGGAATAAAGGTGGTCCAGTCTGACGCCAAAATCTAAGAAATTTGGTGGAGCCCAAGAGGCACCCACATCCCTGTAGCTATGATTCTAATTATTTAAGAATGCATTAAGAATCATGGGGTCCTTGGGGGACTCGGTTAAGCATCCGACTCTTGATTTCAGCTCAGCTCATGATCTCGGGGTCGTGGGATTGAGCCCCACATTGGGCTCCCTGCTCAGGGCGGAGTCTGCTTAAGATTCTCTCCCTCTGCCCCTCCCCCTCCCCCTGCTCTCTCTCAAATAAATAAAATCTTTAAAAAGCGCAATCAAAATCAAATCTTGTAATATGTGCATTACTTTTTCAAATGGCTACTAAGTTGTCAGGATATAGCTACTTACTAAGTTGTTTGGTCCTAACTACTTAACAAATGGCACTGTTAGGTATTTTGGTCTAGGATATTTACCAAAAAAATTCCCGAGACGCCAAGGGTACCATGAATTGAAAAAGTCTGGACATGCCTGTGCCTGCATTTGGAGGCACTTTTTGAATAATTGCTTCAGTTGCTTCCAACTGCCCTGCCTGGCAAGGAGTATCATTCCCTTTTCACAACTGAGGGCTCTGAGGCCTAGAGAGGGCAAGCTACTGGCCCAAGGTCACCCAGCAGAGCTGGGCGGGAGGTGTGTTTGGCTATGAATTCCAGACACTTTCTTGCTTCCATGCTTGACCTGTCAGTTCTTGAAGGAGTCAAAAGACATGGTTTGGAGTCCCAGCTGGACCAAACAATGGTCTTGAGTGGGTCACCGTGAACAGAAGCTACAGACATCCAGAGCTTTTACAACTGGCTCTGTGCGTTTCATGAGCTTGTTGGTGGAAGATCTTTGTCCAGATTAAAGCACCAGAAGCTGGGATTGCAGAGTGATAAGGTGGGAAAATGCTGCTTTTGGGCTTAGTCAGGCTGCAGCTGGAATCCTGGGTTCTCGCCTTCCCTGCTGTGTGACCTCAGGAAAGCCGCTCACCCTCTCTGGGCCTCCTTTGCCTGCTTTCAAGTGAACACAGGTCCTGCCCATACAGTTTCATGAGTGTTCAACGTACTAATGCTGGGGAAGGGTTTGGCATGGTGAAAGAGCGCATCCTGTGGGGCATTTCCCCCCGTTCAGCAGAGGAAACATTTTAAAGCTATAGCTGCCCAAAAACTCATCCTTGGAAACACCGTCAGAACCTGGAGACAGCCTGCCCCTCCCTCTGCCTACCCCCCCGAACCAGAACTGACCAACCTCTTGCCTCACATCTCCTGCCAGCCCGTAATGAGACTGGAAGCGCATGCCGGGCGCCTCTTGGGGCTTCTGGGAGGATCGCATGTCTCCTGACACCCAGCCTGGCTCGTGACTCATTAGTGCAGGTGTCAGGGAAGCTGTCACAACTGAGATTCCAGGGTAAGGCGGCCTGGGAGGGAGGGAGGGAGGCTTGTGTCTCCAAAACCCAGCAGCCAGCGCAACCCAGAGGATCTTCGGAGGCCGTGCCTCATTAGGGAAGTGGCTTTTCTTTCTTCCTTCCTTTCTTTCTTTTTCTTCTTCTTTTTTTTTTAATGATACCTCCACCTCTCAGTACTTTTAAATAAGCTTTCATTTTTAGCTTCTCATCTCTGGGTCTCTGCAGCTTGACTGGCTCAAGCAGCTTCTGATCACCCTGGAGGAAACGGGAACTGAATGGGGGTTCTGGGCTGCCTTAGCGAAGTGCACCTGACATGGGTGAGGGGGTGGAGCCCTTCGAACAACAGAAATGCACTGTCTCACAGCTCTGGAGGCTGGAAGTCCCAGGTCAAGGTGGCCTTCAAGGGCCACATTCCCTCTGAAATCTGGGGAGAAGGATCCGTCCTTGCTTTTGCTTCCTCCTAGCTTCCAGTGGTAGCTGGCAATTCTTGGTGTTCCTAGACTTGCAGGCACAGAATGGTGTTCTCCCTGGGTCTCTGTGTTCAAATTTCTTTCTTCTTATGAGGACACCTGTCACTGGATTGGCACCCATCCTAATCCTGTAGGGCCTCACCTCAACTTGATTACATCTGCAAAGACCCTCGTTCCAAAAAAGGTCCCAGTTACGGTACTGGGGTTAGGATTTCAGCATCTCCTTTCGGGAGACACAATTCTCCCTATAATGCACTGTGAACTTGGCCCAAAGGTCTGGGGACTAGGAAGGGATGTGCTTGTGGGTGAAGGGTTAGGGCCATAGGCTGCAATTCCGCTGGGACATCCCTGCCTGGGTTTGTCCCCAGTCACCCACGGTGAAATATATCGGGGCAAGGCTGGTGGAAGGGGCTGGGGGCTCCAAGACTGGAATCCCAGCTCTGCTCATGAAAAAGTGTTGTGACCTTAATCACATGTCCCTGTGAGTCTCAGCGGCCTTTAAACACACACATACATGCATGCACGCACACTTACATACGTATATATGTATACAGTGTATGCATACACATGCTTATACATTCACACACATATATAATCTGTTTAGCAATGTGTTTTATTTGTTTACTTATTTATGGGGGGAAGATTTATTTATTTATCTGAGAGAGGGAGAGCATGAGTTGGGGGAAGGGCAGAGGGAGAGGGAGAGGGAGAAGCAGGCTCCCCGCTGAGCAGGGAGCCCGATGCAGGGCTCAATCCCAGGACCCTGGGATCAGGACCGGAGCCGAAGGCAGACGCTTAACCAACTGAACCACCCAGGCGCCCCAGCAACGTGTTTTACACTTTCAATAAACTGTAACTATTGTTGTCTCTTATCACCTTTGAGCTTTAGTTCTCTTAGTATATTTGCACGCACACACACATACATACACTTACATTCACAAATGCATATAATCTGCTTAGCATGATGTCTTACACAATCAATAAATAGCAACCATTATCATCTGTAAAAGAGAGCAGATGTGTCTTTTGTCTGAATGACCCATCAGCTATACAGTATTTTACCTCTGAGATGTCCTTAGCTCTGAAATTCTAGGACCTGGACTAAAGAGGCAGATGGGGACCCATGGTGTGAGGTCCAAGATTCCTTGTTGCACGTGAACCCAGAATAAGAAAGTCCCCCTTTGCTGTGCAGAAGCTTTTAATTTTGATGTAGCTCTACTGGTAGCTTCTGGAACTTGAGCTGCTGAACCCTTAATGGAGCTGCTCACAACATGCTCGTATAAAATATGAGCGGGTCTCTCAAGTCCAAACATTGTGTGAGGCTTTGTTCCTTCTGCGTCGCCTCCTGTTTCCTCTGAACAATGGTTCTGATCCCTGGTTGCACATCAGAACCCGGGGTGGGGGGTGCGGCTTTGAAAAATCTCACTGCTCATGCTAAGCCCCAGACCAGGAGCATCAGAATCTCCAGCGAGTTTGAAAACTTCCCGAGTGAGTCCATGCACAGTCAGGCTGAGCCCCCCTGGACCACCGCTCTCTACCCTCTCTCCTTGGCAAGAATAGTAATTCCTCCCTTGTCAGAGTGACTTCGGAAGACTTTTTTTTTTGATTCTTTATGATTAAGAAACCCCCAAAGTCTTTTCTTAACCAAACATCTGCCTCAATGGCTTCACGTAGGTAAGACCAAAGAAGAGTTTAAATCCACCAATTTCGTGTCCTGTGGATGGCTTGATTTTCAGCAGAGTCAGGCAGCTCTGGGTTTGACCTTGGCCTCCACTGTTAATGGGCTGTGTGACCCGGGGTGATGATTTCACTACTCTGAACTTAGTATCCTCTTCTTGCAAACGAGACAACAGTGCCTTGCTCACAAGGCCACTGGAGGCAGAAGGGAGGGACATTCAGTAAAGGACTTAACCCCGGGCCCAATAAATGTACCGTAAATGTTATAGTATGCATGCCTCCGATCTGCCAGCTATGGTCAGGGGATAGTAATAACAGTAAGCGCTCTCGAAGGGTGGAATGCCTCCTCCTAGCAGCCCAGCCCTCCACCACGAATAAGAAGAAGCGAACCCCCGTCTGCATCAAGTCAGCAGCTAGGACTCACAAACACAATGGGGTAGGCGAGACGTCCAGATGGGCGTGCCAGTCTCTCGGCTGTAGCAGGTTAGAAGAGAGCTCCCTTCCAGCACAAAGCCGGGGTTGCATGTGTATTGGATGGTGGTGCCCACCAGCAGCACGGGATCTGAAATTAAGCGGGTCGAGTGGTCCACTTCCCCGGGGTCGGTGCAGTACATAACTATGGACGAAATCAGACCAAGAGGGCGTTAGGACGCTTGATGATCACAGGTTTGCTGACAACTAGAGGATGACCTGGAAAGTTTCCTAACTTGATTCTTGTCCTGTTTGGAAGATAATGCCTCCGAGCTCATCAAAGGTGGTTGGACAAGAAGCCAGGATGAAAGAGGCCCAGATTTAATTCCATTTATAGGAAGTAGCCCAAAGAAATGTTTGCATCTGGACCTACATACGAGGCTGTACATTGCACCGTTATTTGTAATGGTAAAAAAGAAAAAACAAAACAAAACAAAAAAACAATGCAGATCCTTTAACAGGGGAAGAGTTAAATATGGAACAGCTGTTCTATGAAATCCTGAGCAACCACCAAAGAGAGCAAAGTGAGGGCGCCTTCGCTGCTTTCTTTGTGGTGCCTGAATCTAGTAAAACAAGCGGTTACTTTTCAATTAAAAAATCAATATACATAAAGGGAAAACAATAAGCTAATTAAAAAAAGAATGAAGTACACAACATGTGTGATATGAAAAAGTATCTGGATTACTGAGTTGAGAAAACAGCAGTGGTAAAATATCCTTATCTATAGCTGTTTCTGTACGAGTATCTCTGTGTGTCTACACATGCACAATAAGCATGTACCTATGTATGTCTATGTGCGTATGTGTAACACAGTATTGCAACTGGAACAACAGAGAATAAACTTTTAAGAGCAGCCTCATTTCTGGAGAGGACGATCATGAGGGATTTTCACTCTGTACTTCGTAATTTTACTACTGCTTGAGTTCTGTAAGTAAGCACCTGCTACTTGCATAATGGGAAGATATGTTTAGGTACATCTTTTGACGTCGAGAGTGTAGTTGAACCAATGAATGAATGAATGAAAGGCACTGATGACCCCCAGGGATTTCTGGGGGGGGAACCCCACTGTTCTCAGGATGTTCTGCTGTTCTTATTTCACTAGAAGAGAAGCCACTGGGGCAGGTTGGTGAGTCTCTGTCTTAGACGCAGAGTGACAGGCAACCAGCACGGGAACATAAATGCTGATATCCAGAAGGGGCCCAATGCAAATTCATTTGCTCTAATTTGGGTCTTTTCCTGGCAAAAAGTGAGGCAGTTAAAGAGTTTCCCAGAGAGAGCTAGTTTATGTCCCCTCCAAGCCTTTAGAACCCATTAACACAATGGGTCATTATTATTTAAAACATTTTAAAAATCATCATCATTATTATTTTATTTATTTATTTTTTTAAGTAGGCTCCATGCCCAGCATGGAGCCCAATGCGGGGCTTGAATTCAGGACCCTGAGATCAAGACCTGCGCTGAGATCAAGAGTTGGATGCCTAATTGACTGAGCCACCCAGGCGCCGCTAAAAAATCATTATTATTAAAAAATTTTTAAAAATTATCATTATTCAAAAGATTTAAGAATCATTCTTCAAAAAATTTAAAAGTTGTAATATTCAAAAAATTTCAAAAATCATAATTCAAAATATTTAAAAATCATTATTATTCAAAAATTTAAAAAATCATTATTAAGGCATGTATGTTTAAAACATTTTATAAAGTAATGATGGGGCTCCTGGGTGGCTCAGTTGGTTGAGCTTTCGACTCAGGTCATGATCTCAGGGTCATGAGATCGAGCCCCACATTGGGCTCCACGCTCAGTGAAGAGTCTGTGCTTAGTCTGCTTGTCCCTCTCCCTCTGCTCCTCCTGCTCACACTCTTTCTCCATCTCTCTAAGATAAGTAAATACGATCTTTGGGGGAAAATAAGTAATGATGACGTAGATCATGTTAACGTATCTGCGATGGGTCTCACCATCCATGGCGCTTCTCATTGTTGGTTTTTTTATTTTCCATCATGATACACACATACACACACCCACCCACATACATGCACACACACCCCCCACCACATACTGTTGTGGAACAAGCAGATGTTTATGCAGCCAATTTTGAGGATTTTTAGCAAGCTTTTTCATGTTTCCCCCAATTATAATTAATTTTCTTTGCCTTTGGAATATTTGTGACAGGAATTGCATATAACCCCCACCCCCTTCCCCGATACCCTCTTTCTCTGCTGACACTTAATATTTCTTATCGTGCAACTGGTCACTCAAGGCAGGTCGAGCAGGGCTACCAAAGTATCCCCAAGGATTCCCAGCGAGATGGCTGCAGGACCACCCCACCCCTACTAAGATTCAGTGTAGAAACCAGAGAAGCACCCCCCTTTTCTCCCACTTTTCAAGACACCAGGCGCAGCTATCACCAGCCATGCCTAGCCCACAATCCTGAGGGCAGCAAGCAGAAGGCGCCAGGAGGCTGGGATGGGTGCTCTCTGGATGAAGCCAGCTACCTGTGACAGGGATTTGGAACCGGGGCTCCAAGGTCAAACTTAGATTGGTCTTGTGTGGCTGCTACAGGTATTTTAATGACGAATTTGAATGATGTTTTCTACGAAGGTTTCACTGCAGTCTACACCACTCCCTATTGTCTCTCCCTCAGCCTATTTCCCTCATTTACATTATCTGCCAGGCTCTGGAGGCCCCTGAATCTGACATCCCTGCCCTAGAGCTCTAAGAGGACATTTGTGAGCCATGCCAGCGAGCTGGTGGAGTAGGAGGGAGGCCAGATCCTACATGAAGTGACTTCACTGCATCTACTTGAAAAATACTCATTGGGAGGGATTTACCCCCCCACCGACCTAGAAGAAGAAAACAAGATGACTCTTACTTTTCTCACAAAACGGGGGGTCGCTGCTCCAGCTGAGGTCCCACTGGCAGGTGAGGGTGTCACTTCCCACTATGTCATAGCCCGGGTCACACTGGTACGTGATTCTGGCTCCTCTCACAAGCTCCGTATGAGAAGTGGTTTTCCAGCCGTTCTGGATCTCTGGCAGGTCTGAGCAGGAATCATTCCTTGATACCTCTTTAAAACAAAAACATCATCCTTAGATGAGGAGGTGGGCTTTTCTGTGTGGGGTTCCATTTACGAATGTCAGAGGAAAGAGCAAACAGAAGAAGTCTCCAGAAATAAGTAACACACTTCGAAATCCCTTAAACCACAAGAACTCTGCTATAGTGAGATTTTATGGTAAGCTCTTCCTTACCAAGTATTCTTTTGGTTTGACTAAGTCAGTTTAGGATTTAGAGAGAGACAGAATCCTAGCCCTGCCACTTATTAGCAATGTGATTTCGGGGGCAACCTCCTCTCCTTGTGTCTCAGGCCCTCACTTTTCATGACGCCCACCCCACCCTGTTATTCTCACCTCCTGGAATTCACATTCTCGTGTACTCCCCGCAAAGCCCAGCAAGGCTGATGTGCACAATCAGCAGGCTATTGCAGAAGTGATGATGTGTGGCTCCTGAGGCTAGGTCATAAGGGACGTTGAGAAGCTCTCCCCTTGCTCTCTGGAGAGAGCAAGTGCCACCCATGGGGATGCTCAGGCAGCCATCTGGAGTGAGCCATGTGGAGAGAATCTAAGGCCTCTTGCCAACGACTGGTGTTGACTTGCTAACCACACTAGCAAGCCATTTTGGAAATGGAGCCTCCAACCCGACTGAAGCCCTCAAATGAATACAACCCTGGCTGACATCGTGACTACAGACTCATCATGAGAAATCCCCAGTCAGAACCATCCGGCACGAACTCCTGAATTCTGGACCTACAGAAAGTGTGTGATCATAAATGTGCATTGCAGGGTGCCTGGGTGGCTCAGTTGGTTAAGTGTCTGTCTTTGGCTCAAGCCATGATCTCCAGGTCCTGGGATCGAGCCCCACATCGGGCTCCCTGCTCATTGGGGAGTCTGCTTTTCCCTCTCCCTCTGCCCCTCCCCCCAACTCATGCTCTCTCTCTCTCAAATAAATAAAAAAATCTTTAGAAAAATATGCATTGCTAATTTGGGGGGGGCACATTTTGTTATACAGCAATGGTAGCGATCACACTCAGCCTCATTCTAAGAATGTCTGTAGATTCATGGGTTTGATGGATTCTTAATATATGTTTTTGTAATACAGATTAAGATAAACACTCAACTGTTGAAATAAAAATAATTACTGGTGCATTCTTTAAATCATGTTGCATATCATCAGCGAACATTAACCACACTCCAAAATAAGCTACACACAGCTCGTTATCACAGATTGGAATAATCCTGCCTTCCTTCTGCAAATCCTCATTACTGAGGTAGCAATGCAAAGTCCACTATTACTGTTCTTGCTTCCAAGTGCCCACTGCACAGATTTTGAGAAGAGAGCTAATTAGGCAGTATAATTAATTTGCAGTTCTTATGTGCTTCTGGGGAAAGCAAAGCACCTTCCCTGTCTGCAGGAAAGTCATTCTGAGAAACACGCGATGGCTTTTCCTGGGATTTCATCATGATTTTATTTGGGGAACGGAGATCTCAGGGGTGTCTGCAATAAGAAGGGGAGAGGGAGATGGCTTCTGGAATTGCTTCGTGGGAACAGGAGCCTCTATTTTTAGGCCTCTGAAAAATCAGCCAAGCCCTGGATTTAGGACACAACTAAAAATGCTCAAACTGTGGTTGAAACAGGAGTAGATAATGGGTATGTGGTCTGCCTTGTGCCAAATGCTTCGAGACTGAGAAAGGTTTGCTTGTCTGACTCTTCAGTCTGAGCCAGCACGGTGACATGCTCCCGTGGGACGCCCCCCCCCCACCGCCCGCCTTTGTGGTGTTCATCACATTCGTGATTATCGAGTCGGGGACACTGTCACTCAGATCTTGTTTACTAATTCAGTGGCCTTGCCTAAGTCAGTTAGCCTTCCTGTTCAGCTCCTAGACTCTACCCCCAGAGACTCTGATCCAGAAACCTGTATGTTTAGCCAGCATCCTGGACGCAGTTTCTGGCATCATCCTTGTGGGCCCTGAACTTTGTGAAGAATGAGAAAACTGGCTTAGGAGTTGGAGGACTTCCCTTCTGGTCATTGTTTTAGAAGCTGTGTGACTCCAGTCATGTTGATAAACATCTCTGAACCTCATTGTCCCCAATCGTAGAGTTGAGACAAGAATCATGACCTTGTCTATCACTGAGGGCAATGTGAAAACTAATTAATGTGCAGTATATGACACTTAGATGAGTTTTATATGGATTCATTCATTTGTTTGATTAACATTTTGTGAGCACTTACTATATGCCAGGCACTAAGAATATGGGGATCTGAAGTCATGTTCCCAGTCTCATGGTCAAGATCAGCATCATAGTTCAACTTTTAGGTAAAAGAGATACCTAAATGCACTGAGTACATGCCACCATTTGCCAGTCTCATGGTCAAGATCAGCATCCTGGTCTAACTCCGGGGCAAAAGAAATACTCAAATGCACTGAGTATATGCCACCATTTACTGGTCTTATGCTCATGGCAGACCTCATCCTAGGAACCACTGTCATTTGAGTGGAGTTGACCTACAATAAGGAGCTTACTTATTAACCTACCATTAGAGGAATGAGCACACAAGTGACCAATATCTCTTTGAAAAACACTGCTTGCTCATCTCTGCTTTTTTATTCCCTTGCCTCCATGCCCTTGGCCACAGACACTGACAAAGCACAAGGAACAATGAGGAGAATGGTTCTTTGCTTCTGTCTGGGTAAAGCAGAATTATGGGAGGTCAGAACCAGGTAAGCCCAGAGTGTTCCTATGGAAGGTTCTACCAGTAGTCCTAGCAGATTAGCCTTGGCCACATTGCAGAGCTGGGTGTCGGCCTTGAGATCATTTTAGGAGCTTCAGAAATCTCCAGATGACCACAAAACCCCATGACCCTTCCCTGTGATCTCTCTGCTCAATGAGAATTGCATCTATGTCTGGTTAAATCCCTGGGTCCTGGTGCCTGGTGCAGGGCCTAGCACATGTGAAGAGACTCTTGTGGACCAAACTCTCTAGAAAATGGAGATATGCATTTGAAGATGAAAGAAAATAATATATGGAAGAGTTCCTGCCAATTTCAAATTGTCACATTAGTCTGAAGTTTCAGCTTCAATAAAGAGGAGCACCTCCTCTTTAAGATGGCGCCAAATTGAATGTTGGCCAGACTTCCGGGTTAACCTTGAGCAGCCTTGGATAGGGTCAGATTTCTGTCACTGAGCTGAAATGGGGTTTCAGAGTGTTATTGCTGCTGAATGGGGTTTTGGAAGACTGACTCAGACACCAGAGGAGACAAATGAGCAAAACTATGACCTCATCTTCCAAGTAGGAGGCGGGGGGCAGGCGAACGAGGAGAAGAGAAGTCTAAGGAGAGAGACTGAAGCCAAGTCACCAGAAACTCTCCCTCCAAAGGCAGCTGACTCTGGACAGCACATCATCTGGGCAACCAGCACAAGCCGTCCCTCTGTGCCCAGGGCCCTGCCCAGTAAAGAGAGGGGAACCCACAGAAAGTAGCAGCAATAACACTCCAAAAACACTTAACAACACAATCAAGGGGAAAAAGGTCCCCGAGAAACATAAAAAAGATCAACACTTGTGTCTGTCCCTCTGATAGATGTACACAGAGTGGGCAGGGATGAGAAACATCTACCAGCTGGAAACACACACACAAAAAGGCAAGGGACTTATTTTCACATGCATTCTCCAGTGTTCCGTGGAGGGTGATGGAGCCAGCAATGAAGAAGGGGGAGTCACAGGTGGGGAATGAGGAGGGAAGGCTATGGATGCAAGAAATGGTAAGAAGAGGGTGTTGGATGGCCAAGTGTGAACTTGGCTTGAACTTCATAGCAGTTGTTTTGGGTTTTGTTTCTGTTTTATTTTATTTTATTTTTTTTAAAGATTTTTTAAACTTATTTATTCATGAGAGACAGAGAGAGAGAGAGAGAGAGAGAGGCAGAGGGAGAAGCAGGCTCCCAAGGAGCAGGGAGCCTGATGTGGGACTCGATCCCAGGACCCTGGGATCATGACCTGAGCCGAAGGCAGATGCTTAACCATCTGAGCCACCCAGGCGCCCTTTGTTTCTGTTTTAATGTGAAGGTGAGAGAAATGGTTTGGAAGCCACATTGAAGAGCAAGGAAGACACCTCTTGCTTCTCTGGGTCCTACAGGACAGGAGGTGGGAGAGAATGTGTGATCTCCATTGGATGGGGTTACAGGGGAAGAAGAGCCCTTAGGGAGAGCCCAGCTTCAGTTCAGGCAAGATGGTGGAGATGCTGTTTTGAGAAGTTGCAAACGCAGGAGTGTGTGCTGATGATAGAGTCCCAGTTGACTACAAGGGAAACACTGCGAATCTGAAAGTCACGAGGCATCATCTACTAAGTCCTGGTATCGACCCTCTGGAGCAGCTATCAGTTTTTCCATTTTACAGATGACAAAAAGGAGGCTCAGAGAGGTTAAGTGACTTGCCCAAGATCACACAGCCATTGATAGCAGTACTAAAACTCAAACCCTGGTGCTTCCCACCAGAGAGCCCAAATGTTTAAAAACTACACATACTTATTGTGCCAATAAATTAAAAGACTGTGCCAATATATTAAAAGACCCGTGTAGCACAGAACCCTCCAAAAGACATATCTAGAAGAAACCATCTAAACACACACACACACACACACACACACACACACGGACTGGAGACACTTACCTACGTAGTTCATGATAAATCCCTGGCCTTTCCCAAAGATGAGGCCAGCAGGGTCCGAGTGGAACTGGATGGTTAGGTCCGGTGTGGACGAGTACAGCTTCTGGGGACCACTGTTCCCAAGATACTGCCCCAAGATGTGAGGCATGACCTCATCGCCATCATAGATAGTCAGGATGTCGCTGTTGCTCAGGTTCAGGCTGGGGGGCGGGGCAGAGAGAAGAGGAGGGATCCTGTGAAACACAGTTATGGGCATTCAACAAGCCTTTGATTTATTTTTTCAGGCAACACACAGGTTTGTGAGGTATAGTTGGTGGCGGGCGCCAGGCTAGGAACCGGGGTTGAGGTAGGCAGAGACCACAGATGTGAGCAGGACACGCTGATCCTGCCCACGAGCGCCCATGGTTCCTGGGTTTGGGGAGGGACTGGGTTTTTGAAGACTCACGCAGGAGATGGTCTTCCCTACAAGAACTCATTGCACGGTTGAACGCTGAATTGTAAGTAGAACTGCCTTCAATGCCAGTGAAGCTGAGTGCCCTGCCCTGGGTTACCTGCTGGGGGTGTGGCATGGGTCTTCCCTTCTTCTCGGATGCAGAACAAGCTGACTGCATTTTAATTAGAACCTGCATCTTCCATGTCAGGTGAAATGAGCCTTCCAATCATTATGTGGTGAAGTCCTCAAAATCAAACCCGGGTATCTATGATGTTTAGGGGATGGGGTGGAGGGCGGGACGGAGGCACCTTATTCCTGAAATATGCTCAAACCTGCTATCAATATTCATAACATGAAAGGACGACCCATTTCCAAAGGCTGGAATGCAGGAAAGCACCTTGACACTAAATATCAGGACTGCAATGGACAGTTAATAATCCAGAGAGCACTTCCGTGTGCTGCAAACACATGTGTCATGTGAGGTGTGCTGGATGAAAATTGATCTCTGATTGAAAGAACACTAGATAAGTCAGCGTTGGCTGCCGACAGACATTAACTCATGCCTTTTTTCCCTTCCATTCTCCTCCTTCCCCCTCTCTTACATCTTTCACCTTTTCTTGTGTCCTTCTCCCTAATATTTTTGAATACCTCCTATCTGCCAAGCTTGTATCAGGGGACACAAGAATCTCAGAGCGGTGGTAGATTTAGACTAGGAAACCAGGGATTGTGGTAGCAATTACGATCCAGGTGAGTGCAGAGGGAGGAGACTGGGGGGCATCCTGGAGGCCCTCCTGGAGGAGGTGATGCCTGCTTCGGATTCTCAGGAAAGATTAGAGGGCTAGAAGGTTGATAAGCAGGGGTTGGTGAGATGGCAAAACACAGGCAGAAGGAGATAGGGATGGAGATCTTGGCTCTTAAAGGAACTTGCCCAGTGGTCAGTGATCCCCAGCTGTGGGTATAGACACGGAAGCCTGGAGGGCTATAGGAGCCAGACCCTGAAGGGCTTAGAGAGCCAAGTTTATGTGTTTGGATGTCATCTGGCTTGGGATGGGAGCAAACAGACACTGTCTGAGGAGAGGCGTTCCAGGAACTGGCCCTAAGCGAAGTTCCTAGAACTGATGCAGAGTACTGATAGCCCGCCCTCCTGACAGCGTCATCCAGCACCCCAGGACCGTGTTCTCCTTCCCCAGTCTGGGAGGGCGGAGGAGGGGTGGAAACCACCCAAGCCCGTGCTTCCTTCTGGTAGTAAGAACAAAGCAACAGAAACCCAAGGAACATTGTAGAAGGGTGGCTCCCAGAGGGCAGGGGATGTATTCACAGTGATGTGCTCCGCAACACCTCTCATATTCCTCATGTAAAGTTGTCCCCAGGGCCGGCTTAGGGAGATTCCAACTGCCCCCATGGCCTCCATCAGCTTCCCTTGAACCACCCCCAAAACACCCTCTCCTAACAAAAGCTGTCCGCTGGTTTTGCATGTGGGGCTTCAAGACAGAGCCCCTCGCGTCATACCCTCTGCCAGTTTCCAGCGAAGGCTACAGCCTCTAAACCCTATTGTATTGAAATTCTGGAGTTGCCACCTTCTCTTGCACACCATAGGTGCTCGGTAAATGCTAGGGTATGAAAGAGCCTGCCAGAGAGGCTATTTGACAGCAGAAACCATGCGGTCGAGGTCAGCTCTTGACCTGTGGTAAGGAAGAGCCTCTTAACCCTAAGAACCATGAAAACATCGATCGTCCGCGAAAGTGCTGGATTAGGCTGGTGTGAAACATGGTAGATCGCCAATATTTATTTCTTAAGCTGACTTCACAGCTGATCTGCCAGTAATAGTGAGTTCCAGAGAGTCTGCAACTTGGCTTTACTATATCACTCATTTCAATGATCTAAATGCAGTAGAAGCATCTTCAAGGGGGCAAATAATTTCACTCGAAAACCCTAGCATGGCTCTTTGTAAAGTAGGAAGTAGCAGAGTGAGCTGCCTTGGAAATCAGCAAGCTCTGGTTTGATTCTTGCCTCTGATACTTGCATGGGGGGTACCAGTTTTTTTTTTTTTTAAGTTCCTTGTCTGTGAATTTCCAGTCTATGTCCTGGGCTTTCGGAGTGAGGTAAGGCATCCTGAAAATCTGGGACCAAATGCCAGATGTACTGAGAGCACCTGAGCAAGTCTGGTCAAGGCATTCGAATGTTATGTGTCACCGTGTCGTTATGAACATCACCATCACCATCACCATCATCCTTACCATCATCATGGTTGCCATGATCACGCTCTCTTTAGACCGCTGTTTACACCAAATGACATCAGATGACTTCCATCAGTAGTTCTCAGTTAGGGGTGTTTTTTTTTTCCCAGGAGACTGTTTTTTTTTTTTTTTTTAAGATTTCATTTATTTATTTGAGAGAGAGAGAATGAGAGACAGAGAGCATGAGAGGGAGGAGGGTCAGAGGGAGAAGCAGACTCCCCGCTGAGCAGGGAGCCCGATGCGGGACTCGATCCCGGGACTCCAGGATCATGACCTGAGCCGAAGGCAGTCGCTTAACCAACTGAGCCACCCAGGCACCCTCCCCAGGAGACTGTTAGCCATGTCTAGAGACATGGTTGTCCCAACTAGGGGGGGTGCCACTGGGGAGGCGATGAGAGGGATACTGTTAAACATCCTACACTGTGCAAGAGCGCCTCCCACAACAAAGAATTATCTGGTTGAAAATGTCAATTGCACTAAGGTTGAGAAACACTAATTTATGTGAATGCCTTTTGTAAACAGTGTGCAACAGACTATTCACTGTAACTTCTATTGTCCTGGGATTTCCGCAGAGGTCCCCTAAGCTAAGAATAAGCAAATAGCATAAGAAAAAGCATTCTTACTTTTTTAAAGGGCTGTCCAGTCAGGCTTTCTCGTGAGAAGGAAGCAGCCCACCCAGCCCCTTCCCATCGCAGAATTCCCAGCCCGAGGAGCCCTGTGGAGGATGTGGGAAGTTTGAAAATGGATGAGGTTCAGGGCTCTGTGATTAGTAGACTGAGCCACACTTGTTATGACCAGAAAACCTATAAAAATGAAGCTTCCACCTGAGAAGTAAAAAAAAAAAAAAGTAGACCATGAATCAAGGAGCAGTGAAACAATGAGGTTTTTCTCTGCCGAATCCTTCTGGATCCACCTTTTTGGTAGACGAGTTCCACCGATACATGCAAATGCTGGTAATTGATTCCCTGCTCATCTCTAAAGACAAGCCTGCATTTCGCCCGTCCGTCCAGCATATTTGATACACCAGGGGCATCCAGGGCCCCTGCCGCTGGACCGTCCTCAGCAACTGAGATGAAAATGCAGACTTAGCAGCCCAGAGACTGGCCTGGGGCCGAGCAGGGGCTTTCCACTGAGGACCCGAGTGAGATGTTGACCAGAGACCATCCAGGGAGGTGCTGAGAAATCAGGATGTCAGCGTGACTCCAGAACAAAGGGGAGGTGGACAGGTGCCGGCAGGCAGGTGGGTTCGGTGGGACTGGAATTGGGTGTAGCAGGTCCCCCTCAGGGAGGATGCCACGGGGCCAGTCCCTGCTGGCTTCAGCCGCTCTCTGCTGCCAGAGGGCAAGGCTTTCTTGGAGCTCCTGCCAGGAGACCTCAGCTTCTGGGTCTCCTTCTCGCCCTGTCTCCTCGGCCACCGCCCTTAGTTTTTCTCCATCCCTTTTCAGTTGGACTGTGGGACAGCACCTCCTTCGTAGCCCCAGTCCCTCTCCTCCGCAGCCAGATGAGTCCTTCTGAAACATAAATCTGGCCTCTTCATGGAACAGATGAATGGAGAAGCAAAATGTGGTGTATCCCTACAATGGACTATCATTCAGCCACGAATAGGAATGAAGCACAGACACATGCTACACCATGGATGAAACTTCGACTTTGTGCTGAGTGAAAGAATCCCGTCCTAAATGGCCACATGGTGCATGGTTCCACTGCAAAGAAATCCCCAGAAGAGGTAAAGCCATAGAGACAGAAAACCACTTGGTGGTTGCCAAGGGCTGGGAGGAAGGGTCTGGGAGGAACAGAGACCGCTGGCTTAACAGGTGTGGGGTTTGTTTTGGGGAGGATGAGAGTGCTTTAAAACTAGATGGAGGTGTTGATTGCACAACATTGTGAGTGTACTAAATGCACTGAACTATAGAAGTTAAAATGGTTAAGGGCACATTATGCAAATTTTACTTCAATTACAAAGACATTATACCTCAACTCAGGGTAAAGTGCAGTTTTGACCTTATCTCCAGGGTTTCCCTGTACCTATTTTCTGCACCCCCTTACCTCCCCACAGCTTCATCCCTCACTATCTCTTTCAACCCCAATATTTTACATTCCAGCCAGAATCAATTACTCATCAATCTCTCTCCAAGGAATGTAGAAGCACCTGCAAGGTTTTCCACAGGCCATCGTCCTCTCTAGCCTGAATCCTTATTTAGCCTTATGACTGTAGACCTGGGTAACTCTTCCCCCCTCATCCCCATCACAGTCTTCTGTGATTTACTCATGCATGGAGCCCCCACTGCCCCATCTGAGTCTGGGCTGGGGACCCCTTCTGCGCTCACCCCTCCTATGGAGCTCAGGACTCGGCACTCCAATGGTCTGGGGCATCTGCACAGACCAGAAGCTCCCTGAGGCCGAGGGCAAGTCAGTCCAGCTCACTGCGGTCTGTATCCCCAGCTCGGCACCGTGCTGAGTGTGTGTTGGATGAATCAGCACCAGCCCAGGGGCAAGTGTCTGGATCTGAGCCTCAGCTCCCACCCAGGGT